ACACACACACACACACACACACACACACACACACACACACACAGTGTAAATTTTCATGTATTAGTGGGAAGTGTGTTTTTTTGCATGAATGATTTCTGTTTCTTCTCTGCAAGAATAAACTTGAGTCAGTTACGGTTGCCTTGAGGCAAATCAAAACTGGTTTAACAAGGGCCAAATGGAGCAGAAACAAAATCCCCCCCCAAAAAAGGAAAAAGCAGATTTGCTTCCCTGCGGTGAGGCTGCCATATATGGAGAGTCGCCTTGCTGCAGTTTCAATCCATTACCAAGCTGCTTCTCAGATTACACTTAGTCCCGCCCCCTCAGCACACAGCTTAAGCCAGTGGTGAGGCTGCTTTTCAGCATGAAGGCGTTGCTTTCAGGCTTAACCGCCTGGTTGCCTAGGGAACCGGGCAGCAGAGACAGACAGGCTGGGGGAAAAGAAAGCGTTTCCAGGTCAGCTCAAACATGGAGAGAGGAGCAGAGAGACAAAGAGGAGGTGATAGTGAGGTGGGGGAGGAAAAAGGCTCAGTGGAGAGGCAGTGGGGGGAAGCAGAAGTGCTGGCTCTACTCTCAGTGTGGGACCAGGTTGGAGCTCAGCACGTAGTAGAGAGCAGAAGCACATTTGAGGTGATTTCAGAGCGTCTGAGGAGGCTCAGTGTTGTGCGCAGCTGGAGGGAGTGTCAGGCCAAATGCAGAAGCATGAGACTTCAGAGCAGGAAGGCTGACGCAGGCACATCGGCAAACTACAGCCAAGGAGTGGAAGAAAGGCTGCTTGAAAGGCCATGGGAGGAAGAAGATGTGGATAATCAAAGAAGAATCTACCCAGTCCAGGAAGGTAAACATGTTCAACACCACTGCACTATTGATGATAACAACATGACTTTTTCCACCTTGGGGAAAAAACAAAAACAAAAACTGGCATCCAAGGATAAACAGACACGCCAGTTAAAACTATTCTTAGCTTGCTTGTGCTAAAAAGTAATTCAAACACTTACATAAAAGTCATCTTGTTCTTCTTTGGGTTTTTTCCAAATCAACATTTAGCCAAAATTTACAATGTTTTCATGTGTGCACAGGAATGAAGACTCGATTTCATTCAGCTGTTTCTTACTCTACTAATGTGGCTGAAGAGGGAGGCCGCCACTGGACGGATGACGAGGTTAGAGCGCTGCTGTGCGTCTGGGCTGACCGCAACATTCGGGAACGTTTGAAATGCACGCTGCGCAACAAATCCATATTCCAAGAGATGGCTCGTCAAATGCAGAGAAACTTTGGGGTGATACGGAACTGGAAACAATGCCGTACAAAATACAAGAATTTGAAATATGACTATAAGACTGCGAAAAGTGCACACGCTGCGGGAGGCAGCAGTGCAGGAAGCCCGGGGAAATACATGAAGTTTTTTGATGAAGTGGAGGCCATTCTACTGGACAAAGGACTGGAAAATGGGACCAGGGAAATGCAGAAGAGATTGTATGATGGTGAAATGGAAGCAGGGAGGCTACAAACGGCAGCAGGCCACACAGGGCAGATACCGGGCTCTGAGAGTGAGGTGGTCATCGAAATTGATGATGGTAAGCATCAAGTTTGCAAGCAGTTGTTTTAGATTCAAGACTTCGTGAAAATAATTTTCTTATGTATTTATCATTTAAGATGACAACAGTGACGATTACGACATGGATGGAGAAATGGAAGTAAAATGGAGAAGTGCAGGTATGCCGAAAAAGAAAAATCTGCCAAATCAACCGTGGAGTTTAGCAGCATAATTAAACTTTTCCTTCCGTATCTGTTCTTCTTTTATCCCAGACGCCCATCTTGCACACACAGACTCCAGCTCTGACCAGTTCCAAGTAGTCACAGTGTCGGACACGGGTCGAAACTGGAGCGACCAAGAGGTGCGAGCCCTGATCCAAGTCTGGTCGGATGAGCGCATACGCAGGCAGCTGGAGAGCTCAACCAGAAAGAGGGACATCTTTGTCCAGATCTCGAACAGGTTAATGCAACAAGGCATTGAACGTGACTGGAAACAGTGCCACACAAAGTACAAGAACCTCAAGTACCTCTACAGGTCCCTTCAAAGGGGCAAGACTGATGAAGCTGACCCGAGACGCCTCATGAGGTTCTATGAGGAAGTGGACTCCATTATGAATCGCACGGCTAATGACTCTCTGCGAGACACAGGAGCAGCCGAGTCTGCAGATTCAGGCGGACTTACTACATCTGACAACTGTGATGATAAAAATCACGTGGACGGCAAGTTGACAAACACGAGGAGAGCTGTGGAGGGAGCCTTGGAGGACAAAACCTGCACCTCTGATTCGGACTTATCAGTAACCATCGAGGCTACATCAAATGCTTATGAGCCAAAGCGACATAAAATTAAGGAGCATTATCTGGATCAAGAACACATGTTGATGAGTGAGCTGATCATTTAATCATCATCATTATTATCAGCATGAATTAGATGAAAAAGATTACATAATGCTTCCAGTGGTCAGTTACCATGAGTAAGATAATCAAGCAGGACCATCTTGGACAGCCAAAAACAAATGTTTTTTTTTTTTTTACATTATGTCTTAATATATTTACCATACACAAAACAAACCGATGACATTTAGTTCAGGGTTCTCCCTGGCTCACAACAGACTTTTCTTGGTTTATGACACATGTATGCAAGATTAGCCCCAGCAAAGTCAAGGCACTGAATCTGTTACCAAATGTGATAGAAAATGCACAGATTTCTAACCACTTCATGAGAAATCAATCAATGCATCAGCTGAACTTTAGGTTCATTATCTTGCCCAAGGATACTTCAGTCCAGAGAAGTCGGACATCAAACCAACAACTTTCCAATTAGTAGACAACTTGGTCCAACTTGGTTTTAAAATATATTATTATATACATATAAAATATATTATTATTATAGTTTAAAGATTTTATTTAAAAAGGAGTCCCGAGGTGGTCTTAAGCCAGTCTTACTATGTTTAGTACCAAGACAATTCTTTTCTTTTGTAGCAAAAAATGCATATTTGTATTTTTGTAACTACCTTTAATATTATATTTTTGCAGGTGCTTCTGAGAGTGTGGTGGAAAGAGAGGATACTACTTCAACACACAGAAGAATCAAGAGGAAAGCTGTGGATGAAGGTCTGAAATATGTCTCCTTCTGTAATCCCTTTTAATGTCACGTGACATCCACAATTGACTGAAGCTTTTGTAATTTCTGGCTAAGTCCCATGATATGCCATGGCGCTTCATAATTAAATTATGGATAAGGATATGGTCATGACTTTAATAAAATGAACAACTCACATAACCCTACTAGGAGCTAACATGTTACACTAGTAGTACTTAAAAAGTAGGTTAATGTAAACCTTTGTCCTTCTTATTTCCAGACCCTGGACTGCACACACCACTAAAAAAGCTGAACATTGGGCCTCTCGTTGCTGAAAGACTCCACAGCCAGTGTAAAGAAGAGACTGACCATATTCCAATAATAAAGATCAACTCAGTCTGTTCAATGGCCACCCCTGCTCCGTCGCCGTCGCCAGAATTACAGGTAACATATTCTGATCTCATGTGACCATTACAAAACTGAGGTATTTTTGAAATAATAAAAGCTGTTGTGGCAACTTTTTAAAAGCTACCCCAACTACTTGATTAATCGAGTGACAGATTATTTGGCGACCATTGTGATAATCAGTTAATCATTTTTTAAATAAAAATGCCGAACATTAAAATTATGATTGCAAACTTGAACATGTTTAGGTTTTAGATTGTTTCAGATTGCAAAAACAAAGGTGAACTGATTAATGCATATATCCTAAAAGAACAAAAGCTGCAGCTCTATGCTTTTATGAATGAAAACTGTTATGTCTTAAGGGTTATTCACTAATCCATGTCAGAAAATCCCAGAAAGTTGATTTTCTTCATCTGGTCACAGCATTTTCAATGGAAATGTTTCATCGCTTATCCAGGTGACTTCTTCAGTATCGGCTGACTGCAGTTTTCCACAACTTTACAGTACAGTACTTGAGCGGTATAGCTGCATAACAACCGAAACCAGCACCATTGACTAACAATGAACCACAAATTCAGTTCCATGGTCGTTAGTATGCAAACTGTCATGACCATTGGTAGCATGAGTACCATTTAGTGTTAGGAATTGGCTGCAATCACATCACTCTAAGATGATGAACAATAGTTCAAAGATGTCATCCCCTTTTCACATAACGGTTCGCCACTCAAACCAGGATGTGCACATCGTCACTGAAAGAGTGGCCACTGGCCTGTAGGTGTAAACAGCCCTGTCCTGATGAGCTAGCTCTTCTGCGCTGTCCAATCTGCTAACCGGAGGTTGTCGGGTTGGCTTTCTAAATTCAATGAAATTGGGAGAAAAAGAATGATATATTAAATTGCAAGCTAGATGAAGGAAACCAGGCCTTTTGGTTCTTGAAGACATTTCACCTCTCATGTGTGAAGCTTTTTCAGTTCCAAAAACAAAGTATTTTAACCCTTAGTGGGGTTGTGCCCTTGGAGGGTGTCCTGAGGATCGTTGACCCACCCGGTTTTTATGCATGTCAACTCACATCAGTTGAGCTGACATGTGACTAAATGGATGGGTTATTTCGGTCACAAGACCTAAGTGTGAATTCTATGTGGGACAGCTTCATGAACCAAAAAAGAAATCCAGTTGCCTTCAACTCAGTAACTTAAAACTAGCATGGTCTCAACAACTGTATCGAATATTTCATCAGAACCAAGAATGTGGCAATCATATGATATGTTTTCAGAAAAGCTGCTTGATAAAATGTTGCTAACTACAGTGACACTTTAAAAGGTGTTTTGTGTTTCCACTGTACCAGAGTCGATGAGAAAACAAAAAATTGCTAACTGCTAGGAAATCAAATCTGGCTTTTATGAGTGTAGACTCAAAAATTGTACAAAAAAGAGAAAGGCTATTGAGTAGTCTTTTTCTCAGTGTGTGCTCAAGAAGAACAGAAGAAAGCAAGGCCTTCATTGCTTAAGAATGTATGCTTCAAGTATTTTAGCCCAAGAACATTGAGCTTCAAGAGGTCATGCTTGGTAATATCAGAAACCTGTGCCAACTTCTTAAACACAAGGCAGAAGGTAAGACAGCCTTTCAAAAATGGCTAAAGACACAGTCTGAATTATGCCAGTCCTATGATGTAGAGCAAACTGTCAGGATGCAGGAGATCAGTTTGGAGAGCTACAAAATCTCAATATTTCTCTCCAAAGAACGTCACAAACCAACTCTGGTATGCAGGCTGTCTGTTGAGTCCCACACTGAGGCAAAAAAGGCAAAACTAATGACGCTTTCCAAAGCCTTTTTGAGAAGGCATCTACCATTGTTGTAGATCACAGTGCCACAAATCAGGCAACCACCCAAGTAAGTGATTGATGTTTTTCGCACAGCTTGCAAAGCATTTCATCAAAATGGTCTACTGACACAGTAGAAACTGGAAAAAACCCTGCTTATTGAAAAAATTGATTCTGTGGTAGATAAATATCCAGAAATTGTCCTACCCGTGTTCAGGCTTTACTACCCATTCAGTCCCAGGACAGAACCTGTAGAAATACAGGTTTTGCAGCAGAGTTTAAGATTGTTGTTTATTATAACATTCACCTCCTCTGAATCAGGAAGGCACTTTACTGCGCTGAGCAAGTGGATGACCTGGCTGCATTCAGAAATCTATAGCACTTTGTTATAACCACCAAAAAAGCTGGTTATCCCAAAAATAAGTTAGTGTGCAAAGAAGCATGTGGCATATTTGGTGCTTTTATATGAAGTAATCCAATGCCCACTCAGAAAGAGTTGAGTGCTTGGTTGCCAGAACATTGTAGAGAACCATGGTGTGGCTGCAGCTCTTTACACTTAACACAGCAATCCTTGCCTGGGATCCTCTAAGAATAACATGTCCTTCTAATATAGATAGCTAAGGGAATGTTCCATTTTGAAAACCAATAACACTGCAAGAATTATTACAAAACATTAGGGATTAAATACAGTCAAATTATGGTATAGCAATCAAATGGCTGAGTACTCTCCAATACTGGAACAACTAATTCATACATATGTTTTTTGGTTTTATACAAAGTGATTTTTTTGTTGTTGTCCACAGTGTTGAAGCTAAACTTATGCACATGTACATTTATATAGCTAAACCTTAGGAAATATGCAAAGCTCACTTTTATTCTTGCCTTAGTAATGTATTTACACATACATAAGTTTTTTTTATAGTTTTCACTAGACATTGGCTGCTCTTTCACTCCTTTTCAGTGTAGACCTTGTCACTGAGCATTTTTAACTCTTCATGTTTTTCATTTTTCAAATGTTTGACCCATGTCAAAGAACAAAAAATGTGTGTGTGTGTGTGTGTGTGTGTGTGTGTGTG